ATATATATATATATATATATATATATATATATATATATATATATATATATATATATATATATATATATATATACATATATATATATATATATTAGCTACACAGTCGTCATAGGTTTGGCCTGTTAGTAATGAGTCATCAGTGTAGGGGGAGGAATGGTGACCCAATTTCCGGAGGTAACGACGGAAATACTGGCTTCATTATAGTTTTGTGAACTTGCGTGGGCAACAGGCTAGACCGTTGAGGAAGCAAGTAAACTGGTACAGTGACCCATTCCAATCAAATTTTAGATATTTGTGGTGGAAGCTCGCTATTGGGCACAGTAGTAGCCATTTTTCAGATCGATTGATGCCATAAAACAGTTTGGTGTCAGCAGTCTAATGACTGACGGAATTGATTTTTTTTTTTGAAATTTGAAAAAGTGGTATTTAACATGATATTTGACCACTCTGGAAATGCATAATTTTGGTCTGAAAATTTTGTTTTTCATATTTGTAATATTTAAGGCGAGGTTACTCGCCTGTAAAGGAATGAGAGGATTTATATTGCAACTGGAGTTTATTACTGATTTTTATCGGTTTCGTGTTCACTGGTTTGGTTTCCTTGATGGAGGCGGTTTTTGGCGCTGTCTGGGGCCCTTGGCCTTGAATGAAAAATGCTTCTTGTCGTAATCTGATCGTGGTCGCTATTGTTGTGTATTTTTGTATTGTTTTTTCGCATCACTGATTGTGTTGCTAACTTTATTTGTAGATCGTAATTGACCCTGTAGGTCATCCCCAAAGGGGAAATATGTAACTGGAACATGGGAGGCGCAAAGAGTCGTGCATATTCTTTGTTAAGATGCGGTTTTAGCGTTTCCCGCCATCGTTGTGACCAGGGCAAAGGGAGAGAGGGCGTGGAAACGGTCATACAAGTCTTGGGACCATCCGTGATGTGGGCTTTTCGGGGGGTAAGACGTCTAATTGTTAACAAATATGGCGACGCGTATATCACCCATCAGAAGGTATGCTGAAACTATTTCTTATCAAATATTACTTGTGTAAAATATATATGTTTTTGTTACTTTTAGCTATTATAAGAAACTTAAAGATAAGATTTAAGTAACGAAAAACTTTATTTCGGGTGTTATTTTATTTCTGTACTCTTTTTAATTTGGTGTTTAAAAATGGCCGTCGAAATGTTGTAAGAGAGTGTGAGCGCGCACTGCTTCCTGATAAAAAACCCAATGATTTTCAAAACCTAAATTATAATTTGTTATGAAGTTATGATGAAAACCTTTACGTAGACAAAATTATGGAGTGAGCAAACATGAGACAGATAGGTTTTGAATCTTTCAAAGTTCGATGTCGAATTGACAGTTGAAATAGTACCAAACTCCAACCTGAAATGTGCAACTTTATCGTGTATATTTTTGTCAATTTTGTTTATTGACCTTTGTTAAATTCACTTGCAATGGCTCCACATAAGTTACAATATACAAACTGAGCGGAGCCCATGAAAAAGCTATGCATACCCCTACAGTCATTCAGCTTCCTTGCTATTTAGAAGTGGTTGCCCATTAGTTGAAGAAGAATTGCTATTGTATGCGCTTGTTTGCACTTCCTTTCCTGGAAATAGCTACAATATTAATGCTAAATAGCAGAGAAATATGACCCAATAATCCATGCAATTGAAAATGTCTATCAAATTAACTTCGAGAATCATGATTTGAGGAATTATATCTATCAGGCAACCCATAATAGTGACAGGTCTTGGGATGGGTGTACTACAAAACTATATTGAATGAAGTTTTGGAAAAATTTGGCCAACTTTTGAAGGATTTTATTAGGTCCCGTTTACATGAGACCGGAATGAAGTCGAACGGGGACCATTTCGTTTCGGTCATAATATTATTTATAATAGAGGTTTACATGAGACCAGGACAAAAATCAGTAACTCAGACCAGTCTCAAGTCATTCCGCCTGCTAGACCGAGCCTAGACTTGGTTCAAGTCCGTCTCAGGAGAAAAGTAGGGAGAGACGGACTTGGGACATTCGCAGCATTTCGAATGTTACTTGCAAAAATTGGCGCGAAAATTTGTTGTTGTTCTCAATTGGTAGGCCACGCCTCCGTAGGAAAAATCCGACGGTAGAATTTGGCGCGCTTGCAGGGTATCCAAGTCCGTCTCTCCCTACTTTTCTCTCATTTTTTCGCGCCTTTTTTGACCGCTCGCGTGCATCGCTATTTTCAACCCCTTGAGAGACGGACTTATTATTATTATTATAAATCTTTATTAAAATATTAAAAGCAACACCTCACAACAAACGTGCGGGCTTACAATTTGCACTTATTTATCAATAATTATTATATTAATTACTGTATTAGTATTGATATTATTCATTAATAGAGCTAAAATACCATTATTATAATGTTTAATGTAGTTCCTAAGAAGTTGATTTCTAATTTAAAAAATATCATGTGAAGTTAAAAAGACATCTATTAACGAACACTCTTTTAAACCTTTCGGTTCAAACTCTCGGCAGTTCATACTCATGTCCGCGATTGCGTAATTCTAATTGACGACTAGGAGGCAACAAAACTTGCAGGGCATGGTTGGGATCCGTAGTTATTTTCTCCCATAACTCTCTGTCTTTATTGTTTAATATATCAACAATCGATACCTGATACACAAGATATCCATACTTATATGCACGTTTTAAAAGTTTATCTACTTGACTAAGATACTTAGAATACGACGCACATCCCCAGACCTCTATACCAAAAACTAATATTGATAAAATAAGACT